AATTTCTATTATTTATAAATGTCTATTATTTCTATAAATTTCTATTATTTATAAAGTACCTAGTCTCAGGTATTTTGTTATAACAGCACAAACAGACTAAAGATGCGTCCCCAGCTCATTTGGCTAATTTCACCTTGTTTAATTGGAGCCAGCAAAATGTTCCTCCTCTTCTGGTTGGTGGCCTTTTCAACCAAAAGTGTTTAGTCATCTAAAGAGCCAGGCAGGGCAGTGGGAGTGCTTTACCCACTCATGGACATCTTTGAAAGGTCCCCAGGACCTACCATCCACCACTTTGTCTGCCCCTGTCTGAGTGTCTATTGGCAGAGACCACCATGTCCTTGAGGAAAGCTGTCATGGCTTTATCTCCAGGGCTTTCCAAAGGTGGGGGTCTAACCTCATCTCTTCCTCTCCCCCAAAACCTGATGGTATTCATGGCTGCCTGAGGCTTCCCATTTATCACAGACTAATTGAACAGCTACTAGGTGCAAAGTACTGAGCTGGGGCCTGCATCTGCTATTGATATCTACAGTACATACAGGGTACTTACCACCCAGGTGGTGTCAATAAAGTGTTTTTGAATAAATTTATGACAAAACAGGTAGTATACAATTAAAAACATTGTTTGAATATACCACAAAACAATCAGGCTCTTAATATTCTTATGCAACTTGCCAAATAACTTATTGCTTCCAAGAGTTATTTACAAAGGGGCCAGGTGCAGTGGCTCACACCTGTAATCTCAGCATTTTGGGAGGCCGAGGCGGGCAGATCACTTGAGGCCAGAAGTCTGAGACCAGTTGGCCAGTATGGTGAAACCCCATCTATACTAAAAATACAAAAATTAGCCAGGAATGGTGGTGCACATCTGTAATCCCAGCTACTTGAGAGGCTGAGGCTTGAACTTAGGAGACAGAGGTTGCAGTGAGCTGAGATCACGCCACTGCACTCCAGCCTGGGCAACAGAGTGAGACTCTGCCCATCCCCACCAAAGAAAGTTATTTACAAAGAAAAAATTATGAAACAAGAGGGAAAGATGACAGAATTCATGCTGTTCAAGTGAAAGCAAGAAACAAGCTGGTTAATTGTAAAGGAAGATGTCCTGTTCTGGCGTGGTGATAAAAATAGAAATAATATATCGAAGGAAGAAAAAAGAGGGGAATAAAAGCTGTATTCAGGAAATAACTATGCGCTGAGAATATTCTTGGCCAAGAAAATTTGGAAAAATACACAATCCACATGTCAATCAATAATCAAGAATATAATGGCAGCATAATTTTTCATGCCATAATTTTTCATGTCAGTCCTTTTCTGGAGAGTGTGTGTGTGTGTGTGTGTGTGGGTGTGGGTGTGGGTGTATCTTTGTTCTGGGAAAGATGAAAAAGATACACACGGACTGTAAATGCAATCATAAAGAAAGCCAAGTATTCGGAGGCCTGGTTTTGTGGGGCCCACGTTCTGAACAGCACAAGTCTCTGTCAGCTTACTGATAGTGACCTGATTAAAAATGTGACCCAGTGGAAAAACTTCCCTGCTGCCAAACTAGTCACTGGAACTTTGATAAGAAGGTGACAATCTAGTGGTGGGTACAAGTTCAGAGACTCATTAAAATTCAAGGAGGAAAAAAAGTTAAAAAGGAAGAAAAAGTGGCAGATTAGTCATTCAGCCTTCTTAACACAACAAAATGGTTCCCGGTCTCTAATTTATATATATATATATTCCAAAGCACCTCAAGTGATCATCACTAACAACGTATTAGTTCTAAATACAACAGACGATGTTTAGAGCCCATCTTCAGGCTGTATTGGCAGCATTTCTTACTGCTGATCGTCCCTTCTTCTGTGACAGTAGATAGCCCTCTCCTGCCTCTCTGCTGCTCCTTTGCCTTCTCCTCCATAGGCCCCTGTCCTTTAATTTTGGAGTTGCTTGGAGGTTCTGTCCTATCATCTCTCATCTCTCATCTCTCAATGCTATATACCGTTTTTTGTTGTTGTTGTTATTGTTGTTGTTGTTGTTTTGAGACAGAGTCTCCCTCTGTCACCCAGGCTGGAGTGCAGTGGCACAATCTTGGCTCACTTGCAACCTCCACTTCCCAGGCTCAAGCAATTCTCCTGCCTCAGCCTCCCAAGTGGATGGGATTACAGGTGCCTGCCACCACACCTGGCTAATTTTTGTATTTTCAGTAGAGACAGGGTTTCGCCATGTTGGCCAAGCTGGTCTGCAACTCCTGGCCTCAAGTGATCCACCCCCACTCAACCTCTCAAAGTGCTAGGATTACAGGCGTGAGCCTCCATGCCTGGCCTATAGTAGCCTATATACTCTTCTAGTAAAGTATTATTCACTCTCTGCCTAAAGGTACCATCTGTATGCTGAGGACCCCTAAGCCTATCCCTTGCCAAGATCTTCTAGACTTGGGCAGCCAACTCTTCACGGATTACCTTCCCTGGAATGAACACCAGGCAGGTCCAGAGTATCTACTTCTACCCACACTGGTCCTCGTGTCATGTTCAGTGAACAACCTGTGGTTCACCAGGCAACCTGGCTATACTTCTGAGCCGCATCCTTCATCATTTTTTTCTTCTTAAGATCACAAATAATGGCCGGACGTGGTGGCTCAAGCCTGTAATCCCAGCACTTTTGGGAGGCCGAGATGGGTGGATCACGAGGTCAGGAGATCGAGACCATCCTGGCTAATGCGGTGAAACCCCGTCTGTACTAAAAAATACAAACTAGCTGGGTGAGGTGGCGGGCGCCTGTAGTCCCAGCTACTTGGGAGGCTGAGGCAGGAGAATGGCGTAAACCCTGGAGGCAGAGCTTGCAGTGAGCTGAGATCCAGCCACTGCACTCCAGCCTGGGTGACAGAGCGAGACTCCGTCTCAAAGAAAAAAAAAAAAAAGATCACAAATATTTCCTGAGTGTCAGTAATATGTGCTAGGATATATTGTGCCTGCACTGTGCTAGGCAGGCCCAGGACAGAGTAATAAACAAAGTCAAAGTAGTCCTTGCCCTCATGGAGCTTATAGCCTTGGAGCCTTCTTCACTCCCGCCAAGACTGCCAACCCTCTGCGCTGTTCTTCAGACAGTCCTCTTCTCTCTAACCTGACTGCTGCTTTCCTGTTTTAAGTATCCATCATTTCTTGCCTTGATTGACTTCATAGCCTCCTAATTATTTTTCTGATTCCAAGCTCGCCTTTGAAAGCCATTTCCACAAATCTGCCTAAAAACAATCTTATCATACCACTGCTGCTAAACATACTTCACTGGCTCCTCGCTGCTCTTAGGATAAGGGCAAAACTCCTCAGTACGTGGCTAAAAAGAAGGTTGGACAAAGGCCCATAGGAGCTCTGGGAAGGAAGACACTGTGTTGTCCCTTCAAACCTGAAGTCTTTTGATATTCATTCAACATTGTTAACCAGGAAACACTGGTTCTATTAATAAAAATGGTATATCCATTTATATCTAAAGTTAGGAATTGACTGTGTGCATGAACTCTTAACAGCATCTTTTTAAAGTTGTGTGCTTCATACACGTATAAAAATTGAGTCTTGCTCTACATATGATATATTGTCATAGATGTCATTCCATGTCATTAAGCATTCTTCTACCGCATCATTTTAATGACTACAGAGTATTTATTTATTTATTTATTTTGAGATGGAGTCTCACTCTGTTGCCCAGGCTGGAGTGCAGTGGCACAATCTCGGCTCACTGCAACCTCCGCCTCCCAGGTTCAAGCCATTCTCCTGCCTCAGCCTCCCGAGTAGCTGGGATTAAAGGTACACACCACCGTGCCTGGCTAATTTTTGTATTTTTAGTAAAGATGGGGTTTTGCCATGTTGGCCAGGCTGGTCTGGAACTCCTGACCTCAAGTGATGCACCTACCTTGGCCTCCCAAAGTGCTGCCATTACAGGCATGAAGCCACTGTGTGCAGCCTCTTAATTATTTCTTAAATTTGGTCTTTTCCAAAATAATATATGCACAAGTTTAAAAATCTAATAGTATCAAAAATTTTTTAAAAATAGCACTCTGTCTCACCTGTTCTCACTTCAGCCCTGATCCCCAGAAGCAACCACTTAAGACTATTTTAGCTGTCGCTTTTCCTAATGTAACTCTGTATGTCTGAACAGTATGAGTATGTCACTTTTTACTGATTTATTTATCTACTGACCTCCCATCTACTGAATTCCCTGTTTGATGTAGTCAATCATGCAGCGAATATATATTGCGCACCCACTATGTGCCAGGCACTGTTCCAGGCATTAGGACTCCAGCAATGAGCAAAACAACAAGGTCACTGCATTCATGAAACTTAAATTCCAGGAGAAAGACAAGTAAAAAGCAAATAATGAAATAAAACAATTCCATATACTGCTATGTGCTATCAAGAAAATAAAAGAGAGTGGTAGAGATTTAACCGCCTGACTTTCAGTAGGGTGGTCAGAAATATTTCTCTAAGGTGATGTCAGAGCCGAGCCCCTAAATGATAAGCAGGGTCTGCCATGTGAAGCTCTCTGGGAAGTGCCGTGACAGGCATCAGCACATGTAACAGAGACCCTCTAACAATGGCATAAGCAAGTACGTTTATTATTTGTCTCATGGAGTAGCCTGAGAATAGGCCATCCAGGGACCCAGGCTCCTTCGGTCCTTCATCTGGAAGGTGCCCTGTGGCTCCACCACCTCCATGTTCCAAACAGCAAGATGGAGGAAGAAGGAGAAGGGCAGTTCTCTATAAGGACACAATTCAGTAATTTCCCATCTCTTCTGCTCACATCTTTTTGGCCAGACCTTAGTCACATAAGCACACCTAGCTACAAGAGAAACTTGAAATGTAATTTCTATTCTGGGCAGCTACATGCTAAGCGAAAATTCTGTTACTGTGGAAGAGGAGGGGAACACGATGGGGAACCAACTGATTTTCTGCCAAAAGAACATTTTATACAGAGGAAAGATTGAAGGCAAAGGCTCCAAGGAAGGAAAGAACTTGACTTGTTAAAGAGAAAGAACTGCCTCTAGAGGCGTTGCAGACGTGGCTGCTGTGTCACATTTGTGTCATTAGGTGGCAGCGGCTATGTCAATGCTCAGTGTTCTGCCCTGTGAATGTTCGAATGTTTAATAGTCTGACACTCCTGTTTTGTGGACTTGGCATCTGTTTTCCTTCACTGGTATCTGGGAGAGAGGGCGGGCCTTGTGAGTGGGCTTTCTGACCCTCGCGCTGGGCTGGGCTGGCCACTAGGGGTCTGAAGGGACAGTGGGAAGGTAGAGGGTGCCTTCACCAGGAGCAGCCTTCATTAGTGAGTTTTAAGAGACTGTGAGAGGATCGATCAGGTCTGGTGTGTGCTGGTCCATGCTGCACACTGTGTCAGGATCACGAAGGGCAGGACTGGGGAAGGGTTTGCTGGTGTCTCTGTTAATAGCAGTAACGGCAGCCACTTTATTGTGTTCTTGATTCTGTGCCAAGCATTCTTGTTATTTAAGGAAAAAAAAAAAGAGAGAGAGAGAAAGAGAAGGCCAGGTCACTGAACAGAGGTTAAAGAAGCAGAGAGTGGGAGAATCTTAGATCAGGTAGCGGATAGGACTGAACAATGTGGAGATTTTAAAACCAGGCTAAGGAATTTCCATGGGACAGTTTTCAGCGGGGAACTGATTCAACCATTCTCTCTCATATCTACCTCTTTCCCATTTCTTAATAGCATTACAGCCTTAATTTTGACTAAATTATTAATCACTGTTTACATGGTGGATCCAGAACATCTGAGACGGGTCTCAGTTAATTCAGAAAGGGTTTTTTTGGTTGGTTTTTTTTTTTTTTTTTTTTTTTGCCACGATTGAGGACACGGGCCCATGACACAGCCTCAGGAAGTCCTGACAACGTGTGCCCAAGGTGATCAGGGCACAGCTTGGTTTTACACATTTTAAGGAGACAGGAGACATTAATCAATATACACAAGAAGTACATTGGTTCAGTCTGGAAAGGTGGGACCACTTGAAGCAAAGGCAGGAAGACTCAAATTGGGGAATGGGCTTCCAGGTCACAGATAGGGGAGAGACAAATGGTTGTATTCTTTTGAGTTTCTGATGAGCCTTTCCAAAGAAGGCAATCAGATATGCATCTACCTCAGTGAGCAGAGGGATGACTGAGTAGAATGGGAGGCAGGTGTGCCCTAAGCAGCTCCCAGTTTGAGTTTTTCCTTTAGCTTAGTGATTTTGGGGGCCCAAGATATTTTCTTTTCACAACTTCATCATTAGTATATAAATATTGTTCATTGTGGAAAAAAATAGTATGCTGAGATTACATTTCTTTTTCTATACAACTCTTAGCTTGCCTCAAGTTAATAATATCCTTTGTTTCTCACACACAGACAAAACTACAGGATAAGTGACTTGATAGGTGATGTGGTGGGGAATCGGGAATGAATTGAATTTGTGTGCATATCAGCTTCAACTCACTCCAGACTGTCCATTATGCCACCTATCCGTCACTTATTCTGTAGTTTTTTCCTGTCTTCTGAAATCTAGTTGAAATATCTCATCGATTGATGTCTCCTCTACCATCTTATCCTTGTGAACATATTCCTTTTTAGTATCTTCCCTGCCATGTTAATGAATCTTGGCATGAGAGGAGGAAAATAAGCATTATCTATGTACCAATTTAACTGAAATTATATTAATATTTTAGCTTAAGAATTCTCCCATTTAACAATGACTGTTGACCTTGTAACATACCTTATGAGACTCCCTTTTGACATTTTTGTGAGGCTACAGAAAAGATTTAAATGGTTTCCATATGTCTTTGTGAAATGGTTGTTCCTTTGAATATGACTGAATGACAGAAGGAGATGATGAGGTGGCTTGGTTTTAATGGGGCTGTCTTTCTCCTTAATATTCAACTTCCAGCTTTGACTTCACCTCTACCCACACCATTCTCCTTCCCCAGCAATGAATTATGATCTGCTCACTTCTTTGGATAGTCCACAAGCCCTTTAAAAGCCAGCATCTCTGACTTTTTGGTTGTTTTTCTTTTTGAGATGGAGTCTCTGTGGCCCCGACGGGGGTAGAGTGGTACAATCTTGGCTCGCCGCAACCTCCCTCTTCTGGGTTCGAGTGATTCTCCCACCTCAGCCTCCCCAGCAGCTGGGATTACAGGCATGCACCACTGCGCCTGGCTAATTTTTGTATTTTTAATAGAGACAGGGTTTCACCATGTTGACCAGGCTGGTCTTGAACTCCTGACCTCGTGATTCACCCGCCCCAGGCTCCCAAAGTGCTGGGATGACAGGTGTGAGCCACCACACCCGGCCTTTTTGGTTGTTTTTCAACTGCTCACCTTATTGCCTGAACTATTTCAGTGAACACTTAAATATTTCTTGCATGTATGGATTCTGTCCAACTCTTCCCTGAGATGAAGGTTTTACTCACAACCATCTTTGATTTTTTTTTAAGATATAATTGCCATTCTTAGCTTTTATCTCACATACGAGTATCCCAGTTGTGCTCCTGTTTAAAATTCCACCTCAGGGCCGAGCACTGTGGCTCACACCTGTAATACCAGCACTTTGGGAGGCTGAAGCAGGCAGATTACTTGAGGTCAGGAGTTTGAGACCAGCCTGGCCAACATGGTGAAATCCCACCTCTACTAAAAATACAAAATTAGCTAGGTACGGTGGTGCATTTGCAGTCCCAGCCACTCGGGAGGCTGAGGCAGGAGAATTGCTTGAACCCCCTGGGAGGTGGAGGTTGCAGTAAGTCAAAATGGTGGCACTGCACTCCAGCCTGGGCCACAGAGTCAGACTCCATCTCAAATAAATAAATAAATAAATAATAAAATAAAATGAAATTGCGCCTCAAATGCTACCTTGTCCCTGAAGATTTCCCAAAGGAATGAATCTAAGTTCCAGTCCTCTGTCCATCATAGTATCTTATACATAATTACCATTCAACAAATGTTTCCTGAATTAATAAACTAGGTCACCTGATGAGGATTCATATAAACTTTGTTTTTTTATGTTATATATTTAAAAACATTTTCAAGCTTCTATCACTAAATTAGATGAAAAGGCTACCACTGTTAACATCAAACACCATTCCTAGCCTGGAAGCAGATATGTAGCAAAAGGATATTTAATGTTTTCCCCCCAACTGTTTATTTGGCACAGCAATGATAATGTAACCAAACCCATCTGTTTCCTCTCGTCCAGGGATTTCAAATGCTGACCAAAAACGCTTTGTGCTGAACTTCTAATGACTCCTGACTTATCTTACCTGCTCTTTGTCAAAAACTTGTTAAAAACTCTAATAAATATGAATAAAGTACTAGGATACAACCTGGAATAAGAATAGAGTTCTTAAATAAAAGTCAAGACCTTGGAAACTAGAAGATAAGTTTCTTGGCTGCTTGTCTATTCTCATGACATGTGAATAGCTGGGTTGTTTAAAACTCTATGCTTTTACTATGTATGTTTTAAAAAACTTGATCTTAACCAGGAATTATATAATTATAGACTCTGGAGCTAAAAGTAACTCAAATAGTTTATCAATTTCATTATCCGACTTTCAGAGAAGATCTATAAGAGCCTGCTGCAATTTTAAAGTTTAAAAACTAAAGATTTACATTTCATATATTCACATCAACACTTTTTAAAAATGACATTGCTTATTTGAGGTCAGCTGATGTTATCTACCTTAATATTTAAAACTCTCCTATCTCAAGTTTTCCACTGCAACTTATAATTATGAATTCATTTTCATTCCATTCTGCAATCTGGAGCAGTAACTGTCCTACCTGCACTGCATGTAACCACTTCATGACACCTGGAATGCTGCTGTGCATTTTAACTTTACCCTATAATTAATTCAAATAATTCTCATTGGACCAAAATTGTAATCTTATGATTAAACATCATAATCATCTAGCAATTCAAGGCCAAAGTCTATAAAACTATTTTGCTTGGGTTTAAATAATACATTTTAGAACACCCGTTTAATTGAGCTTTCTGTACATTGCTCCCTTTCAAAACAGTTAGTGAAGAGATGCTCAACATCAGTAGTCATTAGAAAAATGCAAATTAAAATTACGATGAGATACCACTTCACACTCACCAAGATGGCTACAAGCAAAACCATAACAAGTGTTGGTGAGGATGTGGAGACAATGGAACTCTCATACATTGCTGGTGGGAATGTAAAGTGATGCAGCACTTTGAAAAACAATCTGGCAGTCCCACAAAAAGTTTACAGTGACCATATGACCCAGCAATCCTACTCCTAAGTATATACCCAAGAGAAATGAAATATATATCCACATAAAACCTTACACACCAATGTTCATAGCAGCATTATTCATAATAGCCAAAAAGTGGAACCAACCCGCATATCCACTAACAGATGAATGGGTAAACAAAATGTGGCATTTTCAAGCAATGGAATATTATTTGGCCACGAAAAAGAATGAAATACTGATACATGCTACAACATGGACAAACCTTGAAAATTATGCTAAGTGAAAAAAGCCATGTGTTATATAACTCTGTTTATAAAGAAATGTCTGGAACAGTTAAATCTATACAGACAGAAAATTAGTTGTTGCCTAGGACCAGAGAAGACAGGTAGTAGGGCACTGAGGCATGATTGCTAATGGGTCCAGGGATTCTTTTTTTTTTTTTTTTTTTTTTTTGAGATGGAGTCTTGCTCTGTCACCCAGGCTGGAGTGCAATGGCACAATCTTGGCTCACTGCAACCTCTACCTCCTGGGTTCAAGCGATTCTCCTGACTCAGCCTCCCGAGTAGCTGGGACTACAGGGGCGTGACACCACACCCAGCTAATTTTTGTATTTTTAGTAGAGATGGGGTTTCACCATGTTGGCCAGGATGCTCTTGATCTCCTGACCTTGTGATCCACCCGCCTCAGCCTCCCCAAGTGCTGGGATTACAGGTGTGAGCCACCACGCCCAGTCTAGGGATTCTTTGTGGATGATAAAAGTGTTCTAAAACTGACTGTGGTGATGGTTGCACAACTCTGTAAATATAATAACAACCAATGAGTCGTACACTTTAAATGTGTGAATCATATGGTATGTGAATCATTTCTCAATAAAACTGTTTAAAACAAATTTTTTAAATAGAGTTTGG